GTGTGCTTCTGTAAGGGTGTGGCAGATCGGCCCCTCTCTCCAACCTGTAGGTTTAGTAGTGCCCTCTGTAGCACATACTTCTAGGTGAGGAGTCAGTTTGGCTCTGATTGGGGCTGGCCCCGTAACCCTCTCTGTTCATGAGTTGCTCCATGTGGTTACATTGCCCTCGAGGTTTGGTGTGCCATAGTGGGGTCTGCACGCACACTCCCTTTTCTGTGGAGACATAACCAATATCCTCCCCTTGGGTGCATCAGTGCCATGCTCTGCCAGTGCCACCGTCTCCCTCTTTCCCCCCTTCTCTCCCTCTCTGTGTTCCCCCTCCTTTCCCTTTGTTTGCATTGGAATGGCGTGTACATTCTACAACGTCATCGTTGTGGCCGCGATTGCCAGGTCTTCCTCTCGCCGAGCTGCTGGATGGATTCAGATGGCCACCACTTTTCAGTGGGCAGGAGAACAATTTCTTCACCAGAGTTCCTTCAAGCCTGGATCATGCATGTGAAGAGGCCTCAGAACGTTCATCGAGAAGTCCCGTTATCTTTTTATTCTGTTTCCTCCTTTTTGAAACCCCTTCATACCAAGATGGGCTTAGGGAAACCCAGAGGGTGTGTGCACTGGGAACCACTGGAGTGCTTGTGTTGACTGCACAGGAGGAATGAGAAACACATGTCCAGGGATGAGATCAAGAGCTGCCAGCTCACAGGGAAAGCGTGTAAACCTTTTGTGCGACTGGCCGTCAGGAATGTTTGAGTCAAGAGATGCTGAGATCCCGCGTGCATTGTTGGACTCAACTCTGGCAGAAGAGAGTGGAGAGACGCAAAAGTGATGTTGCAGGCTTCATTCGAAGACGTTTGCAATAGGGCGGGGGTCCAGGAATGAGCCCCAAAGTCCTGAGGCAGTGTCTGTGGGATTCACAAGAAGGAGAGCCAGCCACTGAGAGAAAGGAGATGGAGCTGACAGACTGCGGTGATAGACGGCATGAGGGGATAAAGAAGACGCGGCTCCCGGGGTCTGGTTGGGTGACTGCACAGGTGTCAAGGGAGATAAGGATTCAATTGTGTCCCCTGGATTTGTCAAAAGGAAGCAGCCTTGATGGAGTCAGGAGAATGAAGTCAGGGAGCCCTTGCAGGAGCCGGGGAGAGTAGAGATGGCAAGGAGAGGATTCTACTTGGAAAAGCTCAGCTGGAGAGTCAAGAAGAGAAGACGCACAATAGAGAGATGCCGGGTGAACATGTGTGTATTTTTAATGATGGCAACATATATATATATATATATTGAGAATATGAGCTCCAGGATGAGGGGAGATTCTGGGAGGGAGGTGAGGCTAGTCTCTCCTCATCTCTACTGCTCTGTGCAGGGCTGCCCTCTGACTGACAACCTCAGGATGTCCTCAGCATACAGGAAGGCACTGTTATTAAAATGTGCACTGCACACTGTTCGACATCATAGCAACACACAAGCCCTCACTGACAGATGGGGGATGATGGCTACACCTGAGGGATGTCCAGAGTTCAACCTGTCTCCCTCACTGACAGGGAACATTCCACCACCGAGCCTCCACTGCCCTCTGTGGAGTATTCAGGTTAAAATGCATTCAGACGAAGGGCCTGATCATCTACTTTTGGAATTAACCAGTGAACACCTTCTAGATGGCAAAGGTCTAATCCACCATTGATCGTGGGGACGGTGCGGAGTCAGGTTCCTTCCACTGTGTGTGGGGCCGACCCAACAGCAGCGAACACTTTCCTGCCCAGCATAGAGCAAGGACTCCATGCCCATCTTTGTTGTGCGTCTGAAAAGCAGTCGTCCCTGAGCAATGCTAGGTTTTCTTCTGCAGAATCGCAACCAGCAGCCGTGGTCTTGGCTGCTTCGAGCTAGGCTGCTTCTGAGCCTCATCTGTCCGAAGCAAACAAATGCATCCGAGGCAGACATTGAACTCTGTGGATGTTAAGGAATTGTATGGCATGCAGTGGGTCTGGGGCAGAGCTGATTACCCTCCCGCTACTGATTGAAAGAGACTGATGGTTTCCCCTGCGCAGATGGGTGGGGAGTTCTTGAGCGCTGTTTGCAAGACTTAAGGAAAACTGTCTCATGAATTCTGCCCCGTTGCAAACGTTCATGGAAGTTGTCCTCTCGCTCAGGCCTAATGGACTTTATAGAGTACAGTACTGATTTTCTTTCATATTTCAATAGAAGCCGCTTTAGTATTTGCTTTCTGCTCTGGCTGCTTGCTGCTGACTGATTCAACACAGATTCCTTCCCTGGTGCCCCCCGACCTTGTTGTTATTCCCTCATTTTGTGTGTTGGCATTTGATTCCTGTCTCCAGCATGAACCACTTTACACATGTCCCTGTTCAGCTGGCGATGGTCACGTGTGTGAATTCTGAATACATTACTCTCCGGAGCGGAGCGGCTGCTCCTGCAGACCGCCGTCTGAAGGGGGATTTCTGGGAAAGATTTGTTTCCATCAGTCAAACATCGAGGATCTTCAGTGGTCCAGCTGGGGAGGCTGTGGCTGTGAACTGGGAAAGGAGGGTGTCGGGCTTAATCTGAACCCCCTCCACCCCCTGCACAGTGGTCATTAATGCAGCAACATTTCACCCTCCTAAGAAAGACAGCCTTATACAGTTTCGCAACAAAACATTCCAGCCTTTGTGTCCTGACAGCAGCAGCCATGCAGCGATGTGCAGCAGCGAGGAGCGGTCTCCTCCTGGACATGGTGATCCGGGCTGGTGGATAGGCAAGGGAAAGTCTGCTCAGAGCGGCCATTCTGCTCAGACCGCCGAGGCCCCCCTTAGAGCAATATAGAAATGTAAAGCGGGGGTCTTTCCCTTAGGAAATGGAAAACAACTCCAAAAAAGACCCCGGTGCCACTGAGTCGATTCGGACTCATGTTGAGCCTGTGCGTTCCAGGATGGAATTTCTGCTCAACGCTGTCTTGGCCGTGAATGTCAGGAGAGCAGATCACCAGGTCCTTTGCAGCCCAGTGGGGTGGGGCTGAGCTGCCCACATGGCGGGACCTGCCCACATGGCGGGAGCTGCTGGGAGCCCTTTTGCTGTGTGTGGGGAGCCTGTAAGTTGGTTTGCACCCCTGGTGCTCCCAGAGGACAGCTGGAGCTGCTGGGAAGGGTCTTGTAGGCAGGCCTTTCTGGGGCAGCGACCACAAAGGGTTTGTTGGGCAGCGCCTTGCAGCTCCTTGGGGTTCCACCGGCTAGTCTTTACGTTCGTCTTCCGGCTCAAACCATTCGCGCCATCCAAGGACCTCTGTCCTTTGCTAGGACCCCTCTTTAGACAATGGCCAGGTTCACTAGCCAGCAGAAGCAGGCTCGGGTCCAGAATGGCTTCACCCAGGTGAGTGTTCATTTCCACGCTGGCTTTAGTTCTTAGGGTCCACGTGATGGAGAGCCAGCCCTCTTGCTAAGCTCCAGTTTCCTTTTCTGTGAAATTGAGTGAATAATTGCATCTCTGGGTCGGATTCTTGGGGGATCCGTGAAGTAATGTGTGCAGAGCCGCTAGCAGAGTGCTGGAATGCACCCTGCCGCACCCTGCCCCTCGTCTTCGGACACCGAAGCTGCTGCAGTGGACATTTCCCCCTTGCCGTGTGCTCTGCCAGACTCACCCCTGCTACTTTGTGTGCATCACAATGACCTAACATTGTGGGAGACTTTGCTCAGGTGCCAGCATGAACAACCTTGACTATGGGACATTTGAAGCCTTGGAATCCAGTAGGGGCTCAGTACAAACTACTTATTTTCATTCACGTGTTAATAGAGGTGGCTTGGTAGGTTTGTCTTAGTTCTGAGAATCAAAGAGTCTTTTGATTTGTTCTAACCACCAGCCCACACATCCTCTCTCCCTCCATCTGCCTCCGTAACCAGGAGTCGCGAACTGCTTGGGGAGTTTGGTACAAGGCAGGGTCAAGCATGGAAGGCTGCACACAGACGTTGCTGGCAGTCACCCTCACCCTTGTGTCCTCTCCTGGTCTCAGCGGTCACCTTCAACTGCTCTTTGAAGCACTGAGAAGGAGAGGGGAACTGAGGAGAAGGGTGTGCATTGATCCCCAATCACTTCTAAGGAAAGGGAAATTTCAGGTTTTATGAGCTGGGATCAGAGTGTGGCGAGAGGAACAGCCCGCTGAGAGAGCTGAGCTCCACTGTACTGCTGAAGGTGACAGGGCTTCAAGAACCAAAAAGATGGTTGTGCTAGTTGGTCTCTGGGAACACACAGTCCTGGAGATCGCCTGCTCCAGGAACCCTGGGTGAAAGCTCTCAGCTGCGAATGAAAAGGTTGAGGTTTGGAGCCAACCGAGGGCACCTTGGAAGGAAGGTCCAGTGATCCACTGCCCCACATCCAGCACAGTTCTACCCCGACACACCCGGGTTCATGTGAGTCTGGGTAGATTTGATAGTAACCGTTTTTCAGTCCGCTCCCGGACACCTTCAGACACTCAAGCACAAACTCATTTTCATTCATTGGACAACTGATTATGTCGTGTTTTCTCTACATGGGATTTTTTAATTCGCTGTTCATAGATTTTATCTTATTAAAAAATCCTCACATAGTAATTGGTATTATCTCCATTTCTCCGATAAAATAACTGAGGCACAGAGAGGTTTGTATGTATGTGTCATCCCTAGCTAAACTAGCGAGTGAGGGAGGGACCCAAAACTTCAGTCCAGCAGCCTGGCTCCAGAGCCCATGCCCTTAACTGCCATGCTGTGGCCAAACACAGCCAGAGAGCTGCAAAGTCAGGACTTGGACTTCACAGATCCTTGGGTGCATGTGATCGAAAACAGGTCAATTGAAAAGGGAACTTGGGACAGGTTATCATCTTTTCCTTGGCAGAGATGGGACCAAGGAGATCTATGTTTGAGGGAGGGGAGGGGAGGGGAGGGGAGGGGAGGTCAGGTGAGGAGGGTGGGAATACAGCAAAGGCTCAGCGAGAGATCCTGGGCAAGGGAGCTTCTGCCCAGGCTCACTGCACTGTCTTTTGTCCCCCACAGGTGTCCCCTCAGGCCCCCGCAACGTCATCTCCATCGTCAATGAGACCTCCATCATTCTGGAGTGGCATCCTCCGCGGGAGACAGGTGGGCGGGATGATGTGACTTACAACATCATCTGCAAAAAGTGCCGGGCAGACCGCCGGAGCTGCTCCCGCTGTGATGACAACGTGGAGTTTTTGCCCAGACAGCTGGGCCTGACCCAGTGCCGGGTCTCCATCAGCAGCCTGTGGGCTCACACGCCTTACACCTTTGACATCCAGGCTGTCAACGGAGTCTCCGGCAAGAGTCCCTTCCCCCCACAGCACGTCTCTGTCAACATCACCACAAACCAAGCTGGTGAGTCTGTTGTTTGTATGGCTAACTCGTTGTCCATCTTGGTGCAGCCAGACCCATCCTGCTGCTCTGCCCTCGGATGGGATGTCCTCCTAGAAACAAAGGGTCAGGCCTTGGCCTCTTCCTGTCATGTGGCAGACAAGTGTAGTCTGGGTGCCGGATACGGCACCGAAGCAACACAGAAGCAAGCCAGAGTAGAACTCTGGTGGTCATGCAGTCGAGGATCAACAAATACTTATGAAAGGATAGATGTATGAACAGACAAGTTTATGGGTGGGTGGGTTTATGGACACATGAGTGGATGAATGGATAGAGGAGTAGATGAGGATTAGAATGAGATCAGTGTATGGGTGGATGGACAGACAGGTGACTTGATGGATGAACACAAAAGTAGGTGGATGAATGGATGAGTGAGTGGATGGATGGTTGGACTGATGAGTGGACAGATGGACAGACAAGTAGATGGATGAATGAAAGTGGGTGGATAGACGGATGAATGGAGAGATAGGTATGGCAGTGGGAGTACTGAAAGACCTTGAGAACAGAAACAAAGGCAATTTTAATAGAAAACCCATGACAGAAGCTTCCCAGAAATCCTATGATAAAGCCAGTAATACCTTCATAGATTATTTTTCAATTAAACCCATGTAATTCAGGAAGGCACTGTACTTTATAGCTTGCTCAGACAAAGGCTACACTGTTCCAGGGACCTCAGATAGGTGGCAATGGATCACTCCTGATAGCCGGCGTGTCCCCTGGCCATGCACATATCAGAACACATTTTCCTCCCTCCTCTTTATTTCTGCATCCCTTACCCTTCTAATCTTGATTACTTTTCACCTCTCTTACAACAAACCATTTTTTTTATATCTATTTAACCAGTCCACCCATGCACTCCCTCCCTCACTTATTTATTTACTCATTCCTCATTAAGGAGCAGTTACTGTGTGCCAAGCTGTGGATTAGACACTATGAAGGATACGGTAGTAGTAGGATTCCTGTTTCCTCCAGGACTCATTAACTGAAGGATTTACAACATGTAAAGGACAAGCCTATAAAGTGGTCTATTCTGAGCACTGTATGCAGTCCATATTGTGGTAAATATCAAGGGAGCTAGAGAAATGCGCAGTCCCTCCCCTGGGAGGGGGTGGGGTGGCTAGGAGGTACAAGGTGGGAGAGGAGAGGTGACATTCTGTCTACTGGCAATGGGGGTCACAGGCAATGGCCCATCATCTTATTTGGAATTATGGATTTTTCTAATCAACAGATTCTAAATGGCCAGAGCGCTAGTGGACTAGCAGTATCCAAGCATTTCTCTCCCTCTGCTCTTTTTCTGTGCACCCCTCCCCTGCTTCTTAAACTCCTCTTCCCTGCTCTCCCCTTTTCTGCTCCCCAACCTCCCTATCCTCAGACTCTTTCTGCCTGTTTGACTACCAGGCATCTTTGATGGCAGATGATTCTTGGGCTTAAGCTGTCAGAACTGAGAAGAAAAAAAGGTGTTGTCTGAGTGCATGGCTGTCCAGATGGCTGCGTTGTTGCTGTGAGCGTGTGTGTGTTCCTGTGTGCATGTTTGTATGTATGTGTATGGTCACGTGTTTACATGCATACGTGTGTAGTGAGAAAACATATGAGTGGAAATGTGGAAGCATCCAGCTGGTGACCACAGCCTGGTGCCATGGAGACAAAGGTTGTGACAGTCTGTCTTGCCCAAAGAAAAGAGAATGGTAATTTCTGCATTACATTGCGCATGTAACATGCACAGCCTTTGTTAGCAGTGCTTTCCTTGGAGAGTTTAAGGCAGAAAACTGGCGGAAATATTTCAGTGCTCCAGCTTCTGGGAATAACAATTCTGCAGGCTGTTATGTTACGCTGGGCTTGGCTGTCTTTTCTCTTGCTGTAAGCATGTGCTAACAAACCTGCCACTGAGATCGGTCGACTTTTCTTTCTGCTCCTCCCTTCCCTTCCCCTGTTATTCCCAAACCTGTCCAGCTGCTTGTCTAGCCATCTGTACTTTCCCAGGTTGCAGCAAGCCCAAGGGACCAGGCCTCAGGCAAGGGTCCCTATATAGCCAACATCCACAATATTTGTTTTTAACCTCACCTATTTATTCCTCCAAGAACACATTTCTCTTACCCTTTGTTCTCCTCAACTCACAGCTCCTTTATTTCTGATCTTCCCTGGATTTGTATGGCCAGCCTCCCATCTATGATTTCTCTTTTGCGATTCTGGAGTGTCCGTGTCTGAAGGTGACAGTCCATGAGCCCAGGATCCATCTGTTTCTCGGTGGTAGCACATGACTGTTACTCAGAAAATACCCAGTTGGCCGGTAGCCCCTACTGTGGGGAACAGGATTCTGTCACATGAGTTTGGTAAATGAATATATGAGCATGGATCACTTTCAATCAATTGTTTAGAAACATGAACACCCTCTTCTTATAAAAATGGGAGAAAGGCTAAACTGTGCTTGTCTCAACAACCATAGTGACTAAGATCCATTAGAGACGAGGCAAATGCACCCAGATAGCACCAAGAGCTCCTGCCGTGTCTGTCTTCTTCCGAGGATGCTCCTTCATCCCTTCTACTCCCGGGGAGGCACAGGCCAACTCCCTTGATGTGACTGCCCGGGGTTGTCCTCATGCACAACTGCCCTATTGTTTGAGGTAGGAGTAGGATAAATGATTGAGTTAGAGTTTCATCAAGAGCTGATTGTGAAACCAATCATTAAGTCAATCAGTATGTGTCTACTTTCTGTGCCTGGAACTGCCCGAATTTTGTGAAATCGCTGGGGACCAATGGGTGGGTCCTGGTTGAGGAATAGGTAAGTGATTGTTGTTATTATTATAATACCTAAAATTTGTGTTTCATTTGACCTTACCCACCATTTTGGAATATATTGGCTTATTTGATCCCTGTAATTACCCTGTGACTTGAAAACTATGTTCTGCAGCTTTTAGGTAAGAAGGCAGTGGCTTAGAGGGCTTTGGAGAATCTTTGCAGGACATCCCCTCTATCTCTGACTCCCTGTTCCCAGCCCTAGTGGATGGGCAGCCTCTATGTTTTAGAGCCCTGGTAGTATAATGGATTATGAGTTGGCCTGATAACCATGAGGCCAGCAGTTCGAAACCACCAGCCACTTTGTGGGAGAAAGATGAGGCCTCTATTCTCGTAAACAGTTACAGGCTCAGAAACTGCCCACAGGACAGCTCTACTCTGCCCTATAGGGTTGCTATGAATTGGCATTGACAACTCAATGGCAATGAGTTTAGATTTGTTTTGTTTTGTTTGGGATTATGGAGGGACATTTCAATAGAGCCAGCCAATGCCATCCTGCTCGGAGGAGGGGTAGACAGTATATCATCTCTTTTACCTTTCCACAATTTTTTCTGACACTGTAGGGAGCCAAACAAAGCTTTTACTTGCCTCTGAGATGGGATGAAATTAGGAGGGGTGTGTGTGTGTGTGTGTGTGTGTGTGTGTGTGTGTGT